GCTCTGTCGGTGACGGTGAATGAGCTGACTAAGGATTTTCAAGCAACTGTGGAGTGTGGAGTACATTGCCCTACGACAATTGTGAAGAAGTTCTTTCGCTTTATGCTAGACATAAGGGACATGTTCGAGAAGGAAAAACTCTTCCATTTCCTTGAAGGATTGAAGCCGTGGATAAGAACAAAGCTGCAAGGACAAAGAATCCAAGACTTGGCTTCCACTTATACCTCTGTCGAGCATCTCACTAACTACATATTTGACGAGTCATGATCTAGTGGGAAGAGTCAATCGTTCTCTGGTGGAAACAACAATAAGCCCTTCAAGCAAAACCAGAACAAAAGTGGGGGAGTGGAGCCATGACCATCAAGTTCAAGTACAAGTGAAAGAAGGCCAGTCAACACGAGGGATTCGGCAACCTTTTGGCCAGTCAATCCCATAGGCTTCAAACCTAGACCCATTGCCTGCTTTTTATGTAGCGCACCACATCGTGTGGCCGAATGCCCTTATAAATATGCTTTAAATGCTTTACAAGCTTCTATTCATTCACAGGAACCAGGTGAGGAGTAAGAACAAAAAGTTGACGCAGGACATATGGGAGCACTTCGATTCTCAGGAGCAATGGAGAAGAAAATTAACAAATTAATGAAGTCTCTATAGAAGGATCTTATGTTTGCAAAAGCTAGCATCAATGGGAAGTTTGCCAAGAATGTGATGAGTCACATTGGTGCCACCCATAATTTCATCTCTGAAGGTGAAGCAAAGATATTGGGATTGAAACTCCAGAAGGACGTGGGTCTTATGAAAGCGGTGAACTTAGAAGTGTTGCCCAAGACTAGAGTGGAAAATCATGTGCAAGTCAAACTGGGAACCTAGATCGACGAAACTGATTTGAAAATAGTGCCCATGGATGATTTTGATGTGATACTGGGATGGAGTTCCTCCTAGAAAAGAAGGCAATCCCCATTTCCACCGTACACAATCTGCTTATCATGGTCAAACAACCCAGCGTGATCTCAGAAAAATTAAAGCCTCCACGCGAGCCCCTATTGTTGTTAGTTTTACAATGCTAAAAAGGGTGAAGTGACAAGAACCTTTGTATATGGCCATTCTAGAATGAGGAGATGGAAAATGTAGTGATCCCTTGAAAAATTCATGGTGTGCTAGAAGATTATGAGGATTTCTTGCCAGATAAACTCTTTGGGAGTTTGCCTCCAAGAAGAACCATTAACCACCATTGCTCCCCGGAGCAAAGGCTCTCGTTAAAGCGCCTTATAGAATAGCTCCTCCCAAAATTGCATAACTTCAAAAGGAGCTGAATGACCTACTTCATGTTGTTGTTGTCGAATTTAGATACTCAAAAATTGATTCAGCTGCATCCTCAACTTGTGATACTCGCAAGTGCACGAGCTGTTCGGTAGTAGCACATGTAAGTGCGAGGTCGATCCCACGAGGATTGAGGATAGATTGATTCAATTTGATTCCCTGCACAAAATAGAAAACAAGAAAGAAAGAAAACACCTAACTCAAAGAAATCAATTAACAATTTCAATTCAAATTCATGGATTGATTCTAGCTAAAGTATGATTAAGCCATGGTGTCTAGTTCTAACCTTATATTCCTAATTTCCTAATTAGATCATTGTTGTCAAACCTAAATTAAGTATTAGAAATCCATTAAGCATAGAAGAATGTTTTAAACAACCAAGCATGTATCTAATCTCTGTTGTCAAATGTGCATACATACTCTTCCTATTCATAGTTCAATTCGAATTAAAGCATATGGTGTCTACTCTTAATTCCAACTAAGATAGCTAACATACAAGTTTTAATGGTGATCAATCATTCAAATAAGCATATTAACTTACAAGCATAATGAATAAGAACAAGAACCGTAATTGAAACTTGGAAACTAATCAAACTTGAAACTTAAAATAAGAAATTACATGATAATGAAAAAGAAAGTACAACTAAGAAAAAACATAAAGGAAAATTTAGCCAAAGGATTCGATTACAACAATTGAGAACTTAAAAGAAAAATCTAGGAGAATTTGAGGGAGAGAATGGAGAGGTGTTTGAGAACTTAGAGATTTTGAGAATGAGAAGGGAGAGGTGTTTGAGAACTAAGAGATTTTGAGGAAGAGAAGGGAGAGCAGCTCTAGAGAGATGTTTGAGAGTTCACCCACCTTAGGTGTGTGTTTGAGAACTTAGAGAATTTGAGGAAGAGAAGGGAGAGGAGCTCTAAAGAGATGTTTGAGAGCTCCCCCTCTTGGGTGGCCTAAGGGAAGTAAAAATCTGATTTGAGTATTTCCTCTACCTACAATACCCATTTCACCAAGTTTACCTAACTTTCCCACCAAAAATAATTAGCTTATGCATATGTCATGCATAACAATGCACAGCAGTCATCTTGTAGGCTCATTTTGGGCTTTGTCCTCCATTCTGAAAAATCTAGGAAAATATGGACTTGAAGCGCTTTGTCTTATCTTTCCAACCATATGTAGCTTAGCTCAAGGAAAAATCGGAAAGGCCTTCAAATATCATTTTTGGCACAGTAACGCAAATGCTGCCGAATTTCACCTTAAGTTTCCAAAACTTGCATAACTTCCTCTAGAAGACTCGGAATCATGAATTATAAAATGTTCCAGAAGCTAGACTTCCACATATTTCAATGATGTATGGCTCATTAGCTGGTTCTTCCTGAGCATGTTCGGTCCAATCTGTGAAGTTAACTAATCTGCAGACACAATTTTGAGCTAACTTGACTCCAAAATGCATTAAATGAGTTCCAAAACTTAATACACTGAAACAAAGATAAAATAGGGTCAAAAGCACAAGTTTAACTAAAAAAAATAACCAAATCATAAGTTAAAAGGGTACAAAATGATATGTAATTATGAACTAATCAAATACGCCCAAACCTAGATTTTGCTAGTCCTCAAGTAAAACAAAAGGAAAACAAAGAGAAAAACAAAACAAGAAGTTAGCTAGACCACTTTTGCAAGTAACTCAATTGCATTGAGCGTATGCAACGAGCCTTTAAACCTCTAGGCATCCCTAGTAGAAGGAGTTGTGTCTCCTGAGGGTTTAACAGATACGATACCCACAAACGTTTTACTAACTCTACAAAACAAAGTGGTTAGAAAACTTATTAGATTTTGTTAGTCCTTGAGCAAAACAAAAAAAAGTCTCAAAACAATCTTTCCAAACATTTTTAGAAGAGAAACGATTCATGCACATGACTCAAAAATTTTAACAATAAAAACTCGGTTTTAGACATCATTTACAAGGCAGCAAAGTTCAAAACACAACATGCTCAAAGTGTAGTAGTGTGATAGCCAAATGCAACTCATTCTTCATTCTCAGTTCACACAATTTCAAAAATCATACAAAGCACAAATTCAACTTCAAATCTCACCAAAGTTGTCCACTCACAAATGAATCACTCATAATAGGCTATAATGCATCACTCAATTATAAACATGAGATTAGAGTTAAACCATAAGAGACTTAACTCGCAATAGAAAGATGAAGAATTTGCATTAATGTGATCTCAAGAAGGATGCCAAACACTTGAAATTAGGAAAATGAATGCAATTCAATCACATGACATTTAGGATCAATTTAGGTCTTTAACATAGGTTGTAATGGGGCCAAGGGTGTAAGGTGAGTGAGAAATGAAAGGTATTGATAATACAAAGTCCAAGGAACTCGCAATGTAAGAGCATGAAACAATTGTTTTCAAGACTTCGAATCATCACGATTAGATTTTTTTTTTTTTTTTTTTTTTTTTTTACATGATCAAAACTCCTTGTACCTCCATTTATAAGGATTCACACTCCTTTCTTTTAATAGAACAACCACCAATTTACTTTTATGGCCAATAAAGTAACCCAAAAATGAATTTTCAATCAACCACCACTTAATCACAATATTCTCTTTTCTTTCACCAATTGGGTGATTTCTATGTTTTTTTTATTTTTTTATTTTTTTAACGTAGTACTCCTTTCTAAACTTAGCATGAAAAAAACATCTCAATGAAAGCTCATGAGTTCCCTGGAAAGGTAAATACTTATTTTGCAGGCTAAGGCAAGGAAATATAATTGGTTAAATGAAAGAAAAGGTTTAAATGTAGGCTCAAAATGGTTAACAATGGAAAATCATGCATAAGGTTAGCTTGAAAGGCACAAACGATCCAAGGAGGGCCTTAATATCACTTCTTTAATGTCATGTAATTAAATTGCATAAGAATTAATGACTTTTAAGTGCTGAACCAAATCAATGAATAATGAGATCAAACAACAACTTGGATGACAAAAAAATAAGAGTGTGTATAACACTCATGAATTGAAGCACAAGGCTCAAAAGCTCACTTTATACGGTTATACAAGTTTAATTTATGCTTGATATAATTCTTTGGATCATGCAAATCCTTCAATTGGAAAATTATGAAACAAATGGCAAGTGTAAAGAAGGTTTCAAACATATCATACTAGAACGATCCCTAATTTTTAATTTCTTAATTTAATTTTAAAAAAATTAAAATAAAATAAAGTGAAATCCAATTTTCATTTAAGTCATGCAAACATTAATCACAGTCTCATCATATGTGTTTGGAAAGTGACTTTATAAATAAAAATAAAATAAACAAATAAAAAAGCAAGACTAAAATAAAACAGAAAAAAAATAAGAAAAATCAAATTTATGTGCTAAACTCCAATACCCCCGAACCTAGAAATGAACATTGTCCTTAATGTTTAAAAATTAGGCGCAACAAATAAATATACTAAATCAAATAAATATCACAAAATACAATAATTATTATTATTATTACAAGGAAAAATACAATACCCAAACTTAAATTTTTATTTAAGCTAAACTCTTTTTTTTTTAATAAAATTTTTAATTTATTTTAAGAACACACAAATATACAAGCAAGTTGCCAAATCAACACATGGTCCTTGTTGCAATGAATGATGAATATGATGCACTCGTAATAAATTAGACATGGTCCTTGTTGCTAAGGGATTCAACCAAAAAGAAGGCTTTGATTATGAAGAAACATTTAGTCTGATAGTCAAACTGGCCACTATTCGCACTATTTTATCTCTTGTTGTTTCTTATAATTGGTCAGTTCAACAACTTGATGTTCAAAATGCTTTCTTGAATGAGTACTTGCAAGAAGAGGTGTACATGAAACAACCCCCTAGTTTTCATGATTCCTCTCGATCTTAGTATGTTTGTTGACTCCATAAGTCTCTTTATGGCATTAAGCAGGCACCCCAGGCTTGGTTCCAAAGCCTTAGTACCTTTCTTCTTGCCCAGTGGGTTGTTCACAGTCACTATGACGCATTGGTATTTATTCGTCGCTCTTTTTCTTGCTCAGTATATGTTCTCATGTACGTGGACGATATAATTGTTACTGGGTCCACACCACGATATAATTATGGACGATACAATTTTTTTCTTGGAATGGAATTTAATTAGTTTCCTGACAATTTGTTTCTCTCTTAGACAAGATATGTGGTTCATTTATTGAAACGGTTTACTATGACTGAGTACAAACCATGTCCTACATCATTGCCTTCTGATGTGCGACTGTCTTGTATGGATGGTGATCCCTTGCCTGATCCGTTTAGAAGTGTGGTTGAGTTTGAGTTGCTTGAGACGGTGGAGCTTTCAAGTATTTTAGAGTTCATAGGTCAAATAGAGGAATTCATGAAAGGGTTAAGAATGGTTAAAGATTTGAAGATTATTGGTCCTGAGGAGTTAACATCTTCATGGAAACTGAATGATGATAAATTAGAGCAACATCTAATATATTTTTTCCTTGTCATCATCAAATAAACATAACCGACCATTCTTCATTATGGCCTTGCTTGTGAATCTTAAGCTTTTGGTGCTTAAGTTTTCATGTATGTTCTTCTTTGTATGTTGGTTCAGCATATATCAATTGAATGGAACTTAATGCTGGACTATGATGATCACTTTAACGTCTGCTTTCAAATTAATTAACAAACGCAACTCACATTGGATATATACAAGTTATATATCTCCAGCTCTTCTACAAAAACAAATCAACACAACACTAGAGTCTCACATCAAAAACTTATTAACAAACATAAAGACTTATAAGGCTATACACTATGCTTTATAAGTGTCTAGCCTAGTTATGTGGGCTTGTAACTAAGTAAGGCATTAAAGTGATTGGTTGTATGAGGGTTGATCTAGGCTGGCCCTATGCCAACAGGGCAAACCCTACCCATCATGAGCAGTTAGCAACTAACAAATGATTATTATTGAAATGGAAGCTCATACGTGCGGCAATGGGTTGGGTTGTGTCAGGTTCATGTCGTGTCGGGATAATAAACGTGTCAAGAATACTGAACCCAAACTCGACTCATTTAATAAACGTGTCGTGTCGAGTTCAGATCGTCTTAAGCAGGTTATTAAACAAGTTACCTAGTTAATAACCTATTTACTCATTCGTAGTTTCCAATTTAAAAAGGGTGTTAATAAACATGTTATTTCACATTTAAAAAAGAAATAAAAAAGAAACATAAGATTACATTAAATTAAAATATTAAGGCGCGCTTCATGATTCCACAATATGAGCCTTTAGTTTGGCCTTCTAGATCTCTTCTTTTGGATTTTCACGCACAGCTTCTTGGGGCTCATCACTTGAGCTCCCAAAGATCACACCCTTAGATTGAACATAACTTGTGTTGTGATCTCGATGCTTGCGTTTACCTAGTTGATCCAAGGCCTCTAGCTGCTTTTGCATGTCTTGAGAGTAAAAATCTACCATCTTTGATAGCTTTTGATTCTCTTCATGCAATATTTCAAGCAGATGTCGATTCGCCTCCACCGTATTTTCCCTCTCCCTCTTCAAACTCCTTATCACACACTGACAATCTTCAACCAAATCCCCTTTGCAACCAACTGAGCTTTTAGCACCTCTACCTCATGGGATTTCACAATGAGGCGATGCCCCACACTTGCAACAGATGCTGTACTTTGCGCTCTCAGTGCCATGGCATCACTCACCACTCAGTTTTCATCCCCTATTCCCAGCACACGCACATCCCTGGGAGTCACCAAACTCCTCACAACTCCAACAGCAATATCGTTCTCAAGGAGTAAAGAGTGTCGTTTACGATAACTGGTCCTCATGAGGAAGCAAAGTAGGGCATCCACAATGGTGCAACCCCTTGCCCCCTAGGGATGGCAATTTTCCTCACGGGTAAGGGTCTTCGCGGGGATTCAACCCTAATGGGTCGGGTATGAAGGACAAAAAAGAGGTATGGGGATGGGTACGAGGAATTTTTTGGGTATGGTGTTTGGGGTGGGGCGGGGATGGTATTCTAAGCCCCAACCTGAACCCTCCCCGTTTAGAATATAAATATATATATATATTATGGTATATATAAATATGCTATTAAAGTAATTTTATCAACCAAATTTTATATTTTATATTATTATATTATATACTTATATAATTTATATAAATCTTAAGCCACACTACTTATTTACTTAGTTAACTTCCAATACATATATAAACATTCTTATATTTTCTTATAAGTATATATTATATATAGATATATATATATTCATTATCTTGAATTAGTACCTTTTTTTTTTCAACAAAGTAGCTATATGTTGGTTTTTTTTTCCATAATAGGGCGGGTCGGGGAACCCATTCCCCAACGAAGGCGGGGATGGGGAATTCCCGATATGAATATTGCATGTATGAAGGCGGGGATGGGGGGAAAAAGCTTAACTGGGATAGAGATAGGAATGCCATACCCACCCCTGATTCGACACATTGCCATCTCTATGCCCCCATGCCTGTGTTGGCAGAGCTAGGTTTAGATCGAGAGAAAATGGGAATGAAAAGGCCATTTTTTATCTGAGTTTAAGGAGATGGGTTTAGATTTTTCTGAGTTTGAGGAGATAGGTTTTCTATGTTTGAGTTTGATTTTTTTCTCTCATTGTTTCCTTTTATAGAAGTAATTTGCAGAGCCGCTCCATAATAATAATATTATTTTTTTTATAAATAATATGCAAGGCCGTTCCGTAATTTTCCCTCCTTTTCCCCTCCCTATTTCCCACTC